TCCTATGCTTCAAGTTGTGTCCATTGCCTCAGCTCTTCTTGCTCAGACCGGCTGTGGCACCAAGGAAGCTGTGGATGTGCTTTGGTGATTGCAGGTCATGTTTGGCAGGCCTTGCTCTGAGGTGCAGTGCTGTGCAGCTCCCTGCAGGCCTGGGCCTGGGAACTCATGGCTGGCCATGGGCACACTGGACTGGCCCTGGAGACGCATTGCTGTGAGTACACACGAGGACATGGGCTGCTTCATGGCAAGGACTGCATCCATGCAGACGTCTGCCTGCAGCTGAGAATGGGGCAGTGTTGCTGGTGCGTGGATGGATGCCCATGAAAAGCCCAGTGCCCATCACACTGCTGCTGTCCTTGCCTGTGAGCTGTGGGTGCAGCCCCAGCACCTCGAGCCACAGCCTGCACTTTCCATATTGCACTGCCTGGAGCTGGGAGCATTTACAGGAAATGCCTCTTTGTGGGACCTTTGGACCACAGCTCACAGCCTGTACTGGGTGGCACCATGCTGGCAGCAGCATTGCTAAGGCACGGCCTGCCCAGGGTGGGGGCATGGAGCATCCCAGACTTGATTTGAAAGGGATGGGGTTGTGGATGGACTTGCACTTGTGGGGCAGCATTGTGATACTGATGTAGCCCGGGAGGCCTCCCACCCCCCTAGTTTGAAATCAGCATGCTCAGCATGCTCCCTGAAATGCCTTTAGACCATTGCACACATCGTGGAAAATAAGCAGGAGGAGTTAAAAATCTGTGTTTAGGCAGATTGTGATCTGGTGGCAATTACAGAAACGTGGTGGGACAGATCACACGGCTGGAATGTGGTCATGGATGGCTGTGTCCTTCTCTGGGAATTCAGGCCAGCAAGGCAAGGTTGCTCTTTACATGAGAGAGCAACTACAGTATTGAGTACTGTGCAGTGGCAGATAGGAGCAGGTTGAGAATTTGTGGGTGAGAATTAAGGGGCAGACTGGCATGGGTGATACTGTTGTGGCTGTCTATTACAGGCCACCAGATCAGGATGAGGAAGCGGACGAGGCCTTCTGCAAGCAGCTGCTAGCAGCCTCACCATTATGTGGTTATCGTGGGGATTTTAACTACCCTGGTATCTGCTGGAAGGCCTCCTCAGCCCAGCAGCTGCAGTTCCAGAGGTTCCTCCCAAGCATTGATGGTAACTTCCTGATGCAAACAGTGGATGAACCAACCAGGAGAGGAGCGCTGCTGGATCTTATTCTCACTAATAAGGAGGGTAAGGTTGAAATGCTGAAGGCTGAGGGCAGCCTTGGCTGCAGAGATCATGTGGTGGTGGAATTCAGGATCTCGTGTGGCAAGAACGGAATACGGAGCAGAACCAAATCACAGCTCTGGACTTCAGAAGGGCCAACTTTGGCCTTCTCAAGCAATTGCTAGGGGAAATGCCATGGGATGGGGTACTTGAAGGTAAAGGGGCACAGGGTTGTTGGTTAGCAATCAAGGACCATTTCTTCCAAGCTGATGATCAGCACATCCCAGCAGGTAGGAAGTTCAGAAAGGGAGCGAGGAGACCTGCACGGTTCAACAGGAAACTGCTGGGCAAGCTCGAGTGGAAGAGGAGAGTCCACAGATCATGGAAGGAATGACTGGTCACCTGGGAGGATTATAAGACTTGTCAGAGGATGTAGGCAGGCAACTAGGAAAGCTAAGGCTTAGAATTAAACCTCGCAAGAGGGGTCAAGAACAACGAAAAGGGCTTCTTCAAATACAACCCAGATAAAACCAAAGCTAGAGGCAAAGTCGGCTCAGTGGTGAATGAGGAGGGCGCCCTGGGGACAGAAGATACAGAGAAAGTGGGCAGTGTTGCAAGAGCAGCTGAAGTGAAGCGGGCATTGCTGTGCCCCCAGCCTGGAAAAAGCCTCGGAGACTGAGAGGAGTCCCAGTGTGTGAACCACGTGGGCTGTTCTGATGAAGCGAAACTGCAAACCTGTTCACACAGCTGCACGGGGAGGAGGGTTGATATCTCGCTGCTCAGCATAGTGGGAAGCTAAAGGAGGAAGCAGAAAGGCTGAGGAGCGCCTGGGATTGCAGGAAAGGGATCGATTGGTGGAGTTGTTCTGCCATCCCTACTGGAAGGGTGCTGGAGATGCTCCTCAAGAGTGGGGGATCGTCTGCCTTCTCACAGTCAGGTGGAAAGGGGCGACCTCAAAGACGGCGAGGGATGGAAACCAGTCCCTGTTTGGGGCAGTAAGCCGACTGCCCCTCAGCCTGTCTCACCTTCCCAGGTGCCCTTACGTAACAGGTGTGAGTCTCTGGAGCTGGAGGGACTGGGGGGATGTGCATATCAGTGAAAGTCCATCCGTGCAGGAGAGGTTGCCCAAGGTTAGTCAGTCTGCTACAGCGTCAGTCAGGAAAAAAAGAAGGGCTGTTGTCGTAAGGGACTTCCTTCTGAGGCGAACCGAGGGCCCGATATGCTGCTTGGATCCGTCCCACAGGGAGCTCTGCTGCCTGCCTGGTGCCCAGGTGAGGTGTTGCCAGGAACATCGCTCGCCTCGTTAAGCCCTCCGATTATTATTCACTACTGGTTTTCCACATTGGAAATGAAAAGGTAGGCAAAACAAGTTCTGGGACAATCAAAAGGGACTTCAGGCCCCCAGCACAGGAAGGACGTGGAGCTCTTGGAGCGAGTCCAGAGGAGGACACTGAGATGAGCACAGGGCTGGAGCAGCTCTGCTGTGAGGAAAGGTTGAGGGATCTGGGCTTTTTGAGCTTGGAGAAGAGAAGGCTGGGGGGAGACCTCATGGTGGCCTTCAGTGCTTGAAGGGAGCGGATAAACAGGGGGGGAATGGCTGTGTGTGAGGGTGGGTGGTGATGGGACAAGGGGAATGGTTTTAAAGTGAGACAGGGGAGGTTTGGGTTGGATATGAGGAGGAAGTTTTTGAGCCAGAGGGTGGTGAGGCACTGGCACAGGTTGCCCAAGGAGGCTGTGGATGCCCCATCCCTGCAGGCATTCAAGGCCAGGCTGGATGTGGCTCTGGGCAGCCTGGGCTGCTGGTTGGTGACCTGCACACAGCAGGAGGGTTGAAAGTCGATGATTATTGTGGTCCTTTTCAACCCAGGCCATTCTATGATTCTACGATCTCTTGAGGTCGCTTCCAATCCCTGACGTTCTGTGATTGTGTTCCCCCCCTGAGTGCATGAGGATGGTGGGATCACAGAACGTCCTGAGTTGGAAGGGATCCTTGACTCCACGTTGGACAAGCCAAACAAAAACCCTTTGTGTGAGAGTGGAGTCCCAGCACTCTGGCAGTGTGGTCCCAGCACTCGAGTTCATGCCCACTGCCGAGGCGAGTTGCTCCCTGCTCACCATCCTCTGGGGCAGAGCCTTACCCTTTCCTCCATCCAACCCTCCCCTGACAGCTCCATGCTGTTCCCTCACGCCCTGCTGCTGCCACAGAGAGCTGAGCTCAGTGCTGCCCATCCGCAGCCTTTGAGGAGCTGTAGATCCATGAGGAGGTGCAGCTGCAGTGAGCCCTCCCCTCAGCCTCCTCTGCTTTGGGCCCAATAAACACAGGGCCCTCAGCTCTCCTCACACCCCTTGCCCTGCAGACCCTTCCCCATCTCCACAACCATCCTTTGGATGCTCTCTCACAGCTCCGTGTCCTTCTCACACAGCAGCACCCAACCTGCACCCTGTGCTCGAGGTCAGACCGCAGCACAGAGCAGACAGGACGGTCCCTGTCCTCGCCAGCACTGCTGGGCCTTCTGCTCCCCCAGAAGGGGAAGGGGCCCTTTTGGCTGCAGGGCCCCACCTGCAGACACACTGTGTGAGGCACAAAGTGCACAAACAGACACATGCTGTAACTGCACTCAGCTCTGGGAAGTGCAGATACTGAAACTAAGAGTGAAGGAAGGCAGAGAGCCTCAGTTCTTGCACATGGGGCAGCCCCCCTTCCACATGACAGCCATCCCCAGAACAACCTGAACGCTCCATGGCCTCTCCAGCCCTGACAGAGTCAGCAGATCATTGCTCTCTATAACTTCCTGAAGGGAGGCTGTAGTGAGCTGGGGGTCGGCCTCTTCTCTCGTGTCATCAGTGATAGGACCAGAGGGAATGGTTTCAAGCTACGGCAGGGGAGATTCAGGCTGGACATGAGGAAGTATTACTTTTCAGAAAGGGTGGTCAGGCACTGAAATGGATGCCCAGGGAGGTGGTGGAGTCACGGACCCTGGGGGTGTTCAAGGAAAGGCTGGATGTTGTGTTGAGGGACATGATTTAGTAGGAGCTGTTGGGAATAGGTGAACGGTTGGACTGGATGAGCTTTCAGGTCTTTTCCAACCTTGGTGATTCTATGATTCTATGATTCTATGATTCTATGATTCTATGATTCTATGATTCTATGATTCTATGATTCTATGATTCTATGATTCATGGCAGTGCAGTGCCATCCACAACCTTCCTCACTGCACCTCAGTGACAGTTTCCAGCCATGGAGAGAACACTGAAGAGAATCAGCCCTGACACGGAGCCCAGCGGAACCCCCCATGGCTGCCACCAGCACAGTGCCCCCCCGTCCCAGATCCCGGAGCCCCGGTCTTCCCCCACAGCACTGTGTGCGTGTGTAGCTGTGTGCTGAACGCTTCATCCTGACCATTCCTCCAGCAATGTGCTGCCCGTCCTGCTGCTGCCTCCGAGCTGCAGAGCGCCCACATCACCTGCACACGCCAGCTGAGGCCCAAGGGCCCACAGACGCCTTTCCCGTAAGCGCGCTCCGTTCCAGCAGTGCAGACAACACATCTCGCAGCAAAGGCTGCTGGAGAACCTCAGCTCTCGCACCGAGGGCAGCTCCCCTTCCACATCCCCGCCATCCTCCACAGCAGCCTGCATGCCCACAGCCACGGGCACCAGCCCTCCACATCCCATCCCCGCAGGCACAGCCGGCACTGGGCCTCGTCCCCACTGCACCGTGTGTGCGACCACTTCCTGCCAGCACTGCTCAGCACAGCAGAACCCAGGGCACAGACGGATGCTCCTCCACACAGCAATGCTCAGTCTTTATTGACAGCTCCTTCAGGCCCATCACCACACACCCTGCCTCACATCACCCCATACAGACAGCAGGAACGGCACAGCAGAGGAGGTCCCTGTTCTGGGACTGACCCCTGGCTGCCTACAGGATGGTACAAAACTTTTGAAAGAATGTCCGTGTGTCTTCCTCCAGCATTTCTCGTGTGTAATGCGTAGCATCATGATTCTGCTTTACCATGGCATCAATCATGCTGATGAGCTCTGCAACCTGCCGATTCCTCGCCTCCCCAGTGGCTCTGTTGTTGAAACCAATGTACCGATTTCCACACTTGGCTGCCAGCTCCTTGAGGTATGGGCTCTCTTCTATGAAGCCCTTCAGGTCTTCTGGATGCTGCAGCTCCTCTGCTCGGGTGAATAAGAGGATTGTGTATTTATCTGCTTTCACATGGAACATCCTGGTCACCCACTCAGCCACTTCCTGCTCCTCCTGTGTGATTCGTCCCAGCTGCATCACAAGCACAATGGCATGGACACCTGCAGAGAAATCCTGAAAGGCATTCTTAATCTTTTCAGCTGTTTTTTCATTGACTTCCTTAGTGTCAAAAAGGCCAGGAGTGTCAACAACAGTAATTGCTCTTCCAGCAAAATGGCCTTCGGTTTTCTGCGACTCTTTGGTTACCGACACTGCTGACACAGTGGAATGAAACTTCTTTGTCCCAAGGATGGTGTTCCCTGTCGCACTCTTGCCACTTCCTGTCTTCCCCACCAGGATGATGCTCAGCTGGGATCCTGTGGACCAAGCAGAGACGAGTGTGAGCCCCGCGGTGCCGGGACACCCCCTGCTGGCCACGGAGTGCCGGCGCCACGAGGAAAGGTGTCCCCGAGCCACCGCTGTGCCCTGCGGGGACGGGACGGGGCACGGGCTGGAGCCGGCTGCCAGCAGGCACGCAGCGCTCGCTCGGCCCCGTCCGCCCTCAGCCTCGCTCTGTGAGCTCTCAGCGCTCAGAGAGATGGGAGGCAGCCTCAGGACGCCCCCGAGGCCACGGCCTCCCACAAAGCCCACATGAACTCCCCGTGCTCCCCAGCACTCAGCCAGGAGCCCGATGGGCTGCAGCTGCCTGCATGCTGAGCTGAGCGGCTCACCTGTGCTGTGACGTCCTGCCATCGGGAGAGCGCTCACACTCACACGGGGAGCCTGGGAGGAGAGAGATGTTGAGTGAGAGGGGCACAAACCTGCCCTGCTTCCCTCCCTGTGCCAATGAAGGTGACACAGATGATCTCTGGGGACTCAGGTCAGTCCCACAGACGCGTGCGCATGGAGAAAGACAAGTGGCATCAAAGTTACCCATCTGCATTGACTTTGTCTTTGGAAAGAAATGTTGGCTGAACCTTATGCATGAAAATCAGAACCCACTCCCTGAAAGCAGATTCTGCTGCCTCGGAATTTGTTCCGGCAGTGGCAGCAGAGCTGCAGCAACTCACCAAAGCAGCGCTGCGCTGTGTCCCAGCTCTGACTGCTGCACTCGTGCTGTTGCTGCTCTCGTCCCGCACAGCAGCGCCGGGGCTGGAAGCGCTGTGCAGCTCAGCAGCGCTTTTAGAGGCGGCGTCGGGAGGAGGGCAGTGCTGGGATCCCAGGTAGCGCTGCTCCACCATTGGCCACATCTGAGCTGCCCCAGTGCGGGGACACCGCCCGCTGTGCAAAGCCACATCCAGCCTGGACTCGGGCGCTGCCAGGGATGGGGCATCAGCAGCTCTTCCGGGAAACTCATTTATGGCCTCACCACCCTTGTCTTGAGGAATTCCTTCACGACACCTTCTCTGAAACTGCTCCATTTACGTCAGCCATTCTCCTTTGTCCTATTGGTTCACTCTCAGTGAACAGAAGCACAGCCGTGCCGTGCAGTGCTGCAGCCCTGGCACAAGGACCCAGAGGCTGTGGGGTTTTCTCCTAGTGCACATTCAGCCCTCACACATGAGGCTGTGCCACCTGTTCTGCGTGTCCCTGTGGAGGCAGGGGAGACCAAATCCCAGCATCCCCAAACCACAGCTCACTTGGGGCCTCAGGCACCTCTGCAGACCACCCACTCTAACAGCCCCATGCCCTTCTCACGCAGCAGCACCCCATGCTCGAGGTCAGGCTGCAGCACAGAGCAGAGGGCACAGTCCCTTCCCTCACCAGCACTGCTGGGCTGCTGCACCCAGCGGATGGGGCTCTTTTGGCTGCAGGGCATTCTAATGGCTCACATGCACCGGGCCGTCCCACAGCCCCCAGAGCCCTTCTGTGCGGCTGCTGTCCGACTTCTGCTCCTCCTCCCCCCCATACTGGGAACCCAAACCCAGTCACTGAAGGGAACACTGGAGAGAATCAGCCCTGAGATGGAGCCCTGTGGAGCCCCCAGTGACTGCCACCAGCACATCTCCCCCCGTGTCTCAACACGGCCAGCCCAGCATTCACCCATCACACCGTGCCCGTGTCCAGCTGTGTGCCAGGCGTTGTGCCTGCAGGTTCCTGGGAGCAATGCTATGGAGGCACTGCAGGAGCCGAAACAGCTCTGCATCCAACCGGCTGGATCCCCACGAGCAGCTCAGTGGGTGACTGCTGGACCTGCACACCGAGTTCCCAGGACAGGTTTTGCCCCTCACCAGCCCGCGTTGGCTGCTGACAATGACTGCGTTGTCTCTCAGCTCTGTGTGCAGCTGAGGGCAGCGGTCCCGGGGCTGCAGAGACCCCCCACAAGGGGAACCCCCCCACCCCCGGCCGTCCCTTTGCCTGCTGCACGGGGCTGGACGGGGCCCAGAGGGGCCGTGTGGTTCCTGCTCAGCGTGTGACTTTCGGGAATGGGAGCGGCTCAGCCCGGGCTTTGGTTCACCCGAGGGCAGCAGGAGCAGCAGGAATGCTTTCACTTCCTGTTGTCACACAGCCCAGAGCTCAGCGCCCTGCGCTCCCTTGGGGGCTCGAGTTCCCCCTGACGGCGACAAAGAACAACAGCTGCACTTTCTCCTCCCTTTTCCAGAGGCCCCTCGTGGGGATGGGCTCTGTCCGGGCTGTGATTCCCGCTGGTTTCAGAACAGTGCTGATGCTGCTGACGGCGCCCTGGACCGCTGGGAGCAGCAGGAAGCAATGCTGCGTGCAGAGCGCTAATTAAAACACAAATATTACACTAATTAACGTAATTATCCTTTAGTGCCTCCATAAGCCATGCTCAGGGATCTCCCCAAACCCTGCGCCCACCCCGCGCAGTGCGCAGCGGGCGACGTCGCGGCGGCACCGGGCGCTGCGCTCCGGCGAGTCGAAGGCGTCGGGCGCGTCCACCGCGTGCACGCCGTAAGCCCTCCACGAGCCGCTCCGCCGCTCGCTCCTCCGCGCCACCGCACGCGTGGGGTGAATCGCGGGGAGCAGCCGGGGGTTGGCTGTCGCTCCCCGGGGTGCGGCCGCCCCGCCGGCAGCCGGGCCGAAGGTGGCGCATTCCTTAAGTGCCTTTCCCGTCAACGCTCCCGTTTCCCGTCAACGCGCTCGGTTCCCTCAGCGGCGCCCCTGGCAGCGGAGCCGCGCGGTACCGCCGCCCCGCCGAGCTCGAACGGACGCGCCGCCCCATCGCCCCGCGCTCCCGCAGCGCCGCGTCCCCCAGCCGAGCTCCTCCGCGCCGCGCGGCCCCGGGGGTCGCCACCCGCTCTGCCGGCCCCGCTCTCGCCCAGCACCCGGGCCGAGCTCCCGGGGGCTCCGGGGTGGCCGGACGCTTCCCGACCCGCTGCGACGCGACGCGCTCCCCTGGGGGCTGCCGGCCCGACGGGGAGCGGCGCGCCGCCGGCACCGGGGCTGCTCGCAGGGCGGCTCCGAGCCGGGGCGGCTCCTCGCTGCCCGCTCTCACCCGGCGACGTTCGGCCCCGGCCGCAGCCGCGCAGCCGTCGCGGTTTCGAGTTTTTTCCTCGTGATTCCACATTCCCTGCGTCACGCAGCGATGGGAGTCAACGGGGCGACGCGGCGGCTCTGAAGAATGAGCTACAGCTCCCAGAAAGGCACGGCGCTCCCACAACGCTTTATTTTGTGATTTCCATCGTCCAGGAGGAGGCGATGACAGCAGAACACAAAGCTCACAGCAGCGCTCTCCTTTGCTGCCTGTGTGTCACAGCTGCTGCAGCATCGGCACGAGAGCTTTGCGTTTTGGAAACTCTCGTTTGTTCAGTAGCTTCAATTCCAATTACATTTCACTACTACAATTAGAAAACTAAGTCCTTCTTTCCTTAGCTCATTGCCACCGCTTCCCTTGTCTGGATCCATCTTCGTTCCCTTCCCCTCCCCTACCCCCTTTTTGACATGGACCCGTGGGTCTCGTCACGGTGATTAGATCTTAATTACGGCAAACACAACCAACACGACGACTCCCCTCGCCCCTCGCTCTGCCTGAGGGCGATGCTCACAGCCCTGTGCAGCACCTCATCAGCCTGCACATCCCGGTCCCGCCTCGGCGCTCTGTTGCTCACAGCACAGCACTGCTTCCCGCACGCCTTCACCAGCTCCCGCAGCGCTCCTCTGTCGGCCGCCTTCACGTATTCATCCAGCGAGCCGCCCCCCAGGTCTTCCTTCCTTGTGAACACCACCATCATGCGCTGCTTAGCGCCCTTCCCAAACAGCTTCTGCACGCTCTCCTGCACCTCGCGGTCCTCCCGCGTGTAACGGCCCAGCTGTGTCACCAGCAGCAGCACGCAGGGCTCCCGGGCAGCGAATCTGAGGCAGCGCTGGCGCTCCTCGGCCAAACGCTGCTCGTCCCACTGAGAGCCCCCGAAAATCGCCGGGGTGTCCATGACCACCACGCACCACTCGCCCCAATCCCGCCTGCCGTCTTTGCACGTGGTGGTGACGGGTTGGGACGCCAGCCGGGACTCGAAGCGCTCCTCGCCCAGCAACGTGTTGCCGGTGGCGCTGCGCCCCGCTCCGCTCCGCCCCAGCAGCACAACGCGCAGCTCCGGCCGCCGACCTGCGGGGACAGCGGGACACGGCTCGGACGGGACGGACAGCTTCTCCTCCAGGTACTGCCGACCCCACGCCGAGCTTCCATGGACCCCGTCCCGTTACAGACAACACCCTCAGAGCACGGACCCCGCGACCGGACAAGGAGACCGGGCCCCAAACCAGCAGGCACACAGGGCTCGTGGGCCGCATCCGCCCTCAGCCTCGATCTGTGCGGCTCTGAAAGCAGAGATGGGAGGCAGCCTCAGGACGCCCCCGAGGCCACGGCCTCCCACAGAGCCCACGCGAGCACGAGGCTGCACCAGGATGCGAACCCCCCGTGCTCCCCAGCACTCAGCCAGGAGCCCGATGGGCTGCAGCTGCGTGCATGCAGCTGTGAGTGGCTCACCTGTGCTGTGACGTCCTGCCATCGGGAGAGCGCTCACACTCACACGGGGAGCCTGGGAGGAGAGAGATTTTGAGTGAGAGTGGCACAAAGCTGCCCTGCTTCTCTCCCTGTGCCAATGAAGGTGACACAGATGATCCCTGGGGACTCAGGTCAGTCCCACAACTGCGTGTGCATGGAGAAAGCCAAATGGCATCAAAGTTACCCATCTGCATTGACTTTGCCTTTGGAAAGAAATGTTGGCTGACCCTCATTCATGGAGGTCAGAACCCACTCCCTGAAAGCAGATTCTGCCGCCTCGGAATTTGTTCCGGCAGTGGCAGCAGAGCTGCAGCAACTCACCAAAGCAGCGCTGCGCTGTGTCCCAGCTCTGACTGCTGCACTCGTGCTGTTGCTGCTCTCGTCCCGCACAGCAGCGCCGGGGCTGGAAGCGCTGTGCAGCTCAGCAGCGCTTTTAGAGGCGGCGTCGGGAGGAGGGCAGTGCTGGGATCCCAGGTAGCGCTGCTCCACCATTGGCCACATCTGAGCTGCCCCAGTGCGGGGACACCGCCCGCTGTGCAAAGCCACATCCAGCCTGGACTCGAGCACTTTTCCTTAGACAAACACACATTTGAAATATAAATATGCTCAGAGGAAAGAGAATTGGATAGTGTGTGTGATAGCAAGGTTCTGATTCAGTTTGCAGAAGCGGAAATTGAGCGTCAGTTTCCTCACTGAGCATTGCTGCTACAGCAGGGCACTGTGGGCTCACGTCCACCAGGATGACCAAAAGCCCGCAGAGCCCTTCTGTAGGGCTGCCGTCCAGCCTCTGTTTCTTTACATACACCCAGGACAGCCCCATCCCACGTGCAGAATGCAGCTCTTGCTCTCGGTCACCTCCATTCCGTTGGGCACTGCCTGGTCCTGCCATCACTAAGGCTCTCTCTGCCAGGCCTCTTCACCCCTGACTGAGTCAGCAGCTCCTGGCAGTGCAGTGCCATCCACAACCTTCCTCACTGCACCTCAGTGACAGTTTCCAGCCATGGAGAGAACACTGAAGAGAATCAGCCCTGACACGGAGCCCAGCGGAACCCCCCATGGCTGCCACCAGCACAGTGCCCCCCCGTCCCAGATCCCGGAGCCCCGGTCTTCCCCCACAGCACTGTGTGCGTGTGTAGCTGTGTGCTGAACGCTTCATCCTGACCATTCCTCCAGCAATGTGCTGCCCGTCCTGCTGCTGCCTCCGAGCTGCAGAGCGCCCACATCACCTGCACACGCCAGCTGAGGCCCAAGGGCCCACAGACGCCTTTCCCGTAAGCGCGCTCCGTTCCAGCAGTGCAGACAACACATCTCGCAGCAAAGGCTGCTGGAGAACCTCAGCTCTCGCACCGAGGGCAGCTCCCCTTCCACATCCCCGCCATCCTCCACAGCAGCCTGCATGCCCACAGCCACGGGCACCAGCCCTCCACATCCCATCCCCGCAGGCACAGCCGGCACTGGGCCTCGTCCCCACTGCACCGTGTGTGCGACCACCTCCTGCCAGCACTGCTCAGCACAGCAGAACCCAGGGCACAGACGGATGCTCCTCCACACAGCAATGCTCAGTGTTTATTGACAGCTCCTTCAGGCCCATCACCACACACCCTGCCTCACATCACCCCATACAGACAGCAGGAACGGCACAGCAGAGGAGGTCCCTGTTCTGGGACTGACCCCTGGCTGCCTACAGGATGGTACAAAACTTTTCAAAGAACGTCTTTGTGTCTTCCTCCAGCATTTCTTCTGTGTAACGCGGAGCTCTGCCATTCTGCTCTACCATGGCATCAATCATGCTGATGAGCTCTGCAACCTGCCGATCCCTTTTCTCTCCAGTTGCTATGTTGCTGAAACCAATGTACCGATTTCCACACTTGGCTGCCAGGCCCCTGAGGTATGGGCTCTTGTCTATGAAGCCCTTCAGACCTTTTGGATGCTCCAGCTCCTCTGCTCGGGTGAATAAGAGGATTGTGTATCTCTCTGCTTTAGAATGGAAGATTCTGGTCACCCACTCAGCCACTTCCTGCTCTTCCTTACTGATTCGGGCCAGCTGCATCACCAGGATGATGGCGTGAACCCCTGAATAGAGTTTCTTAAAGGCTTTCTGAATCTTTTTAGCTGTTTTTTCATTGACTTCCTTAGTGTCAAAAAGGCCAGGAGTGTCGACAACTTCTATTGATCTCTCACCGAACAAACATTCTTCTTTTTCATACTCTCGGGTTACCGATTCTGCTGACAAATTAGAGGTAAATGCTTTCCTCCCAAGGATGGTGTTCCCTGTCGCACTCTTCCCATTCCCCGTCTTGCCCACCAGGATGATGCTCAGCTGGGACCCTGTGGACCAAGCAGAGACGAGTGTGAGCCCCGCGGTGCCGGGACACCCCCTGCTGGCCACGGAGTGCCGGCGCCACGAGGAAAGGGACGTGAAAAACAATAAGAAAACCTTCTACAGGTACATTGGCCAGAAGAGACAGGCCAAAATGGGCGTACCTACTTTGGTAAATTTAAAAGGAGAACTGGCTTCAACAGATGAAGAGAAAGCTGAGGTGCTGAATGAGTTCTTCACCTCGGTCTTCACTGGTGGCCAGGATTCTAGTCTTCTTCACGTCCATGAACCCTGCATCCCCAAACCTCTATGTGGGGACCAAGGAGGTAAATCCCTCCCCACTGTAAGGGCAGAGCAAGTCCGAGAGTACCTCCTTAGACTGAATGAATACAAGTCTATGGGGCCGGATGGCGTGCATCCCAGGGTCCTGAAGGAGCTGGCTGAGGTGGTTGCCGAGCCGCTCTGCATCATATTTGAGAAGTCGTGGCTGTCAGGTGAGGTCCCGGATGACTGGAGGAAGGGTCACGTCACTCCCATATACAAGAAGGGGAGCAGGGAGGACCCGGGGAACTACAGGCCGGTGAGTCTCACCTCCGTGCCTGGGAAGATCATGGAACAGATCCTCCTGGACAACATGCTCGATCACATAAAGAATGAGCATGTGATCCGAGACAGCCAGCACGGCTTCACCAAGGGAAGGTCATGCCTGACTAATCTTGTGGCCTTCTATGATGGAGTGACGGCATTGGTGGACGAAGGGAAGCCGACCGATGTCATTTACCTGGACCTGAGCAAGGTCTTTGACATGGTCCCCCACCACATCCTCATCTCCAAATTGGAGGGAAGTGGATTTGATGGGTGGACGACCCGATGGATGAGCAATTGGTTGAAAGGCCGCAGACAGAGTGTGGTGGTCAATGGCTCTGTGTCCAGGTGGAGGCCGGTAACAAGTGGTGTCCCCCAAGGGTCTGTCTTGGGACCGGTGCTCTTTAACATCTTTATTAATGACATCGATGAGGGAATTGAGTGCACCCTCAGCAAGTTTGCTGACGACACCAAGCTGAGTGGTGCGGTTGATACGGTGGAAGGAAGGGATGCCATTCAGAGGGACTCGACAGGCTGGAGGGCTGGGCTCGGGTGAACCTGATGAGGTTCAACACGGCAAAGTGCAAGGTTTTGCATTTGGGCCGGAAGAACCCCAGGCACCCGTACAGGCTGGGAGGAGTGGGCCTTGAGAGCAGCTCGGCAGAGAAGGACCTGGGGGTCCTGATGGACGAGAGACTGAACATGAGCCAGCAGTGCGCTCTGGCAGCTCGAAAGGCAAATGGGATCCTGGGCTCCATCAGGAGAGGGGTGGTCAGCAGGGAGAGGGAGGTGATTGTCCCTCTCTACTCGGCTCTTGTGAGGCCCCATCTGGAGTACTGTGTCCAGGTGTGGAGCCCTCAGTACAAGAAAGACGTAGAGATCTTGGAAAGGGTCCAGAGGAGGGCGACTAAGATGATCAGGGGGCTGGAGCACCTCCCCTATGAGGACAGGCTGAGGGAGTTGGGCTTGTTCAGCCTGGAGAAGAGAAGCTGCGGGGTGACCTCATGGCAGCCTATCAATACCTGAAGGGAACCTACACCCAGGAGGGGAGTAAACTCTTCAGAAGGGCTGACAACAGCAGGACTAGGGGAAATGGATCCAAGTTGAAGGAGGGAAGATTTAGGTTGGATGTTAGGGGGAAGTTCTTCACAAGGAGAGTAGTTAGGCCCTGGAACGGGCTGCCCAGGGAGGTTGTGGATGCCCCGTCCTTGGACGTGTTCAAGGCCAGGTTGGACGGGGTCCTGGGCAACCTGATCTGAATGTGTGTGTTTGGTGGCCCTGCTGGGCAGGGGGGTTGGAACTGCATGATCCTTGAGGTCCCTTCCAACCCGGGTGATTCTGTGATTCTGTGATTCTGTGAAAGGTGTCCCCGAGCCACCGCTGTGCCCTGCGGGGATGGGACGGGGCACGGGCTGGAGCCGGCTGCCAGCAGGCACGCAGCGCTCGCTCGGCCCCGTCCGCCCTCAGCCTCGCTCTGTGAGCTCTCAGCGCTCAGAGATGGGAGGCAGCCTCAGGACGCCCCCAAGGCCACGGCCTCCCACAAAGCCCACATGAACTCCCCGTGCTTCCCAGCACTCAGCCAGGAGCCCGATGGGCTGCGCCTGCCTGCATGCAGAGCTGAGCGGCTCACCTTTGCTGTGACGTCCTGCCATCGGGAGAGCGCTCACACTCACACGGGGAGCCTGGGAGGAGAGAGATGTTGAGTGAGAGGGGCACAAACCTCCTGTGCTTCCCTCCCTGTGCTAATGAAAGTGATGCAAATGATCAGTGCACCATCCCTGGGACACATCACTGTGAGAACTCACGAGGACATGGGCAGCTGCATGACAAGGACTGCAGCCCTGCAGACCCCTGCCCAGGGCTGAGAATGGAGGCAGTGCTGCTGGTGCGTGGATGGATGCCCATGAAAAGCCCAGTGCCCATCACACTGCTGCTGTCCTTGCCTGTGAGCAGTGGGGTGCAGCCCCAGCACCTCGAGCCACAGCCTGCACTTTCCATATTGCACTGCCTGGAGCTGGGAGCATTTCTGGGAAATGCCTCTTTGTGGGACCTTTGGATCACGGCTCACAGCCTGTACTGAGCCGGCACTGCAGTAGCAGCAGCACTGCCAGGGCACAGCCTGCCTCAGATGGGGGCATGGAGCATCCCTCCATTCTTCCTGAGTGCCACGAGAGTGGTTGGATCACAGAACGTCCTGAGTTGGAAGGGACTCCTGCTTCCACGTTAGACTAGCCTAACCCAAACCCTACGTCTGAGAACGGTGTCCCAGTGCTCCAGCAGCTCAGCCCGTGCCACTGCCCAGGGGAGCTGCTTCATGCCCACCACCCTCTAGGGTACAGATTTTCCCTCAATAGCAACCTACAATCTTCTGACAGCTCCATGCCATTACACCACGGCCTGTCAGTGTTGGAGAGAGCTGAGCTCGGCGCTGCCCATCCGCAGCCTTTGAGGAGCTGTAGATCCATGAGGAGGTGCAGCTGCAGTGAGCCCTCCCCTCAGCCTCCTCTGCTTTGGGCCCAATAAACACAGGGCCCTCAGCTCTCCTCACACCCCTTGCCCTGCAGACCCTTCCCCATCTCCACAACCATCCTTTGGATGCTCTCTCACAGCTCCGTGTCCTTCTCACACAGCAGCACCCAACCTGCACCCTGTGCTCGAGGTCAGACCGCAGCACAGAGCAGACAGGACGGTCCCTGTCCTCGCCAGCACTGCTGGGCCTTCTGCTCCCCCAGAAGGGGAAGGGGCCCTTTTGGCTGCAGGACACTGCAGGCTCATGTCCACCGGGCCGTCCCACAGCCCCCAGAGCCCTTCTGTGCAGCTGTCAGCCACCCTCTGCTCCCCCAGTCCGTACTGAGAAGCCATGTCCAGCCACTGAAGGGAACACTGAACAGAACCAGCCCTGAAATGGAGCCCTTTGGAACCCCCAGGGACTGCCACCAGTGCGTGCCACCCGTGTCCCAATGCATGGGCCTGAGGCATCAGCCCAGCTTTCACCAATCTCACGGGGTCTGTGCCTGTCTGTGTGCTGGGTGCTTTGTCTGCAATGTTCTGTGAGCAATGGTATGGAAGGAAATGGTATGGAACAGAAATACAAGCTAAAGGAGGGAGAGAGCACCTCAGCACTTGCATCATGGGCCGCTCCCCCTCCCCACCAAGGGCTTGCCTCATTCTTGCACTCAGGACCAGGGCTGATGGCCCCACAGGGACAGGGCTGCTCATTGGGCTGCCCACACAGCACTTCTGCTGACTGCTCTCAACAAGCGAGGCGCGAAGCCTCGCATCCACGCGCTGCTCAGCACTGCATCCGTGTGCCCCAGCATGAGGCTGTCAGCACTGGGCCTGGTCCTGACCACATCAAATGCGTAACCACCCCCTCCCAGCCCTGCCCAGCACAGCAGAACCCAGGGCATGCGCAGGTGCTCAACCAGACAGCGGGGCTCAAGCACTTGTTGAGAGCTCCTTCGGGCACCACACTCCGTGCCCCACATGTACCGCGAAGGCGGGGAACGGCACGGCTGAGGAGGCTGTTTCCTCTCTGACTGAGCCCTTGCTTCCCACACGATGGTACCGACCTTCTCCAGCATTTCTCGCGTGTAACACGGAGCGTCACCATTCTGCTCTACCATGGCGTCAATCATGGCGATGAGCTCTGCAACCTGCCGATCCCTCGCCTCCCCAGTGGCTCTGTTGCTGAAAGCAATGCATCGATTTCCACACCTGGCTGCCAGCTCCTTGAGGCATCCGATCCTTTCTATGAACCTCTTCAGATCTTCGGGATGCTGCAGCTCCTCTGCTCGGGTGAATAACAGGATTGTGTACTTGTGTGCTTCAGTATGGGACATCTTGGACAGCCACTGAGCCTCTTTCTGCTCTTCCAGTGTGCTTGGGCCCAGCTGCATCACCAGGATGATGGCATGGACCCCTCCGGACAGGAACTGAAAGGCTTTCTTCTCAGCTGTTTTCAGGTTGTCTTCCATAGTGACATGAAAGCCAGGAGTGTCAACAACAACCAGTGACCGTCCAGCAGAGCAGCCTTTGACTTCCTTGCACTCTTGGGTTACTGACTGTGGTGACAGATAAGATTCAAATGCCTCCTTCCCAAGGATGGTGTTCCCTGTCGCACTCTTGCCACTCCCCGTCCTGCCCACCAGCAGGATCCTCAGCTGGGACCCTGTGGACCAAGCAGAGACGAGTGTGAGCCCCGCGGTGCCGGGACACCCCCTGCTGGCCACGGAGTGCCGGCGCCACGAGGAAAGGTGTCCCCGAGCCACCGCTGTGCCCTGCGGGGACGGGACGGGGCACGGGCTGGAGCCGGCTGCCAGCAGGCACGCAGCGCTCGCTCGGCCCCGTCCGCCCTCAGCCTCGCTCTGTGAGCTCTCAGGGCGGAGATGGGAGGCAGCCTCAGGACGCCCCCGAGGCCACGGCCTCCCACGAAGCCCACATGAACTCCCCGTGCTTCCCAGCACTCAGCCAGGAGCCCGGCTGGGCTGCAGCTGCCTGCATGCGGAGCTGAGCGGCTCACCTGTGCTGTGACGTCCTGCCATCGGGAGAGCGCTCACACTCACACGGGAAGCCTGGGAGGAGAGAGATTTTGAGTGAGAGTGGCACAAACCTCCTGTGCTTTCCTCCCTGTGCTAATGTCAATGATACAATTGATCAATAGACTGTCCCTGGGGATGCATCAGTGTGAGAACACACGAGGACATGGGCAGCTGCATGACAAGGACTGCAGCCCTGCAGACCCCTGCCCAGGGCTGAGAATGGAGGCAGTGCTGCTGGTGCGTGGATGGATGCCCATGAAAAGCCCAGTGCCCATCACACTGCTGCTGTCCTTGCCTGTGAGCAGTGGGGTGCAGCCCCAGCACCTCGAGCCACAGCCTGCACTTTCCATATTGCACTGCCTGGAGCTGGGAGCATTTCTGGGAAATGCCTCTTTGTGGGACCTTTGGATCACGGCTCACAGCCTGTACTGAGCCGGCACTGCAGTAGCAGCAGCACTGCCAGGGCACAGCCTGCCTCAGATGGGGGCATGGAGCATCCCTCCATTCTTCCTGAGTGCCACGAGAGTGGTTGGATCACAGAACGTCCTGAGTTGGAACGGATTCCTGCTTCCACGTTAGACTAGCCTAACCCAAACCCTACGTCTGAGAACGGTGTCCCAGTGCTCCAGCAGCTCAGCCCGTGCCACTGCCCAGGGGAGCTGCTTCATGCCCACCACCCTCTAGGGTACAGATTTTCCCTCAATAGCAACCTACACTCTTCTGACAGCTCCATGCCATTACACCACGGCCTGTCAGTGTTGGAGAGAGCTGAGCTCGGCGCTGCCCATCCGCAGCCTTTGAGGAGCTGTAGATCCATGAGGAGGTGCAGCTGCAGTGAGCCCTCCCCTCAGCCTCCTCTGCTTTGGGCCCAATAAACACAGGGCCCTCAGCTCTCCTCACACCCCTTGCCCTGCAGACCCTTCCCCATCTCCGCAGCCATCCTTTGGATGCTCTCTCACAGCTCCTTGTCCTTCTCACACAGCAGCACCCAACCTGCACCCTGTGCTCGAGGTCAGACCACAGCACAGAGCAGACAGGACGGTCCCTGTCCTCGCCAGCACTGCTGGGCCTTCTGCTCCCCCAGAAGGGGAAGGGGCCCTTTTGGCTGCAGGACACTGCAGGCTCATGTCCACCGGGCCGTCCCACAGCCCCCAGAGCCCTTCTGTGCAGCTGTCAGCCACCCTCTGCTCCCCCAGTCCGTACTGAGAAGCCATGTCCAGCCACTGAAGGGAACACTGAACAGAACCAGCCCTGAAATGGAGCCTTTTGGAACCCCCAGGGACTGCCATCAGTGCGTGCCACCCGTGTCCCAACGCATGGGCCTGAGGCATCAGCCCAGCTTTCACCAATCTCACGGGGTCTGTGCCTGTCTGTGTGCTGGGTGCTTTGTCTGCAATGTTCTGTGAGCAATGGTATGGAAGGAAATGGTATGGAACAGAAATACAAGCTAAAGGAGGGAGAGAGCACCTCAGCACTTGCATCATGGGCCGCTCCCCCTCCCCACCAAGGGCTTGCCTCATTCTTGCACTCAGGACCAGGGCTGATGGCCCCACAGGGACAGGGCTGCTCATTGGGCTGCCCACACAGCTCTTCTGCTGGCTGCTCTCAACAAGCGAGGCGCGAAGCCTCGCATCCACGCGCTGCTCAGCACTGCATCCGTGTGCCCCAGCATGAGGCTGTCAGCACTGGGCCTGGTCCTGACCACATCAAATGCGTAACCACCCCCTCCCAGCCCTGCCCAGCACAGCAGAACCCAGGGCATGCGCAGGTGCTCAACCAGACAGCGGGGCTCAAGCACTTGTTGAGAGCTCCTTCGGGCACCACACTCCGTGCCCCACATGTACCGCGAAGGCGGGGAACGGCACGGCTGAGGAGGCTGTTTCCTCTCTGACTGAGCCCTTGCTTCCCACACGATGGTACCGACCTTCTCCAGCATTTCTCGCGTGTAACACGGAGCGTCACCATTCTGCTCTACCATGGCGTCAATCATGGCGATGAGCTCTGCAACCTGCCGATCCCTCGCCTCCCCAGTGGCTCTGTTGCTGAAAGCAATGCATCGATTTCCACACCTGGCTGCCAGCTCCTTGAGGCATCCGATCCTTTCTATGAACCTCTTCAGATCTTCGGGATGCTGCAGCTCCTCTGCTCGGGTGAATAACAGGATTGTGTACTTGTGTGCTTCAGTATGGGACATCTTGGACAGCCACTGAGCCTCTTTCTGCTCTTCCAGTGTGCTTGGGCCCAGCTGCATCACCAGGATGATGGCATGGACCCCTCCGGACAGGAACTGAAAGGCTTTCTTCTCAGCTGTTTTCAGGTTGTCTTCCATAGTGACATGAAAGCCAGGAGTGTCAACAACAACCAGTGACCGTCCAGCAGAGCAGCCTTTGACTTCCTTGCACTCTTGGGTTACTGACTGTGGTGACAGATAAGATTCAAATGCCTCCTTCCCAAGGATGGTGTTCCCTGTCGCACTCTTGCCACTCCCCGTCCTGCCCACCAGCAGGATCCTCAGCTGGGACCCTGTGGACCAAGCAGAGACGAGTGTGAGCCCCGCGGTGCCGGGACACCCCCTGCTGGCCACGGAGTGCCGGCGCCACGAGGAAAGGTGTCCCCGAGCCACCGCTGTGCCCTGCGGGGACGGGACGGGGCACGGGCTGGAGCCGGCTGCCAGCAGGCACGCAGCGCTCGCTCAGCTCTTCCTGGCCCTGTCCCCTCTCTCAGCTCTCCCACAGGAAAACTGATCGTGCCCAGCAGGAAGCCAAGCCCAAACTGAAGGTTCTGACCAAAGGATCCGCTGCAAAAGGGACACAACGCCCCACGGCTGCACTGAAATGCGCACAGCACGGCTCCCACCGCCACCTTCCCCACTCCGTGGAGAAGCAGCTGGGGACTGCGGCCAGTGCAGCAGCTCCTCTGGCTTTGGTGCCACACAGCCCACAGCGTCTCCTCACTGCCACAAGATCGGCTCCAGCTTCACCCCAGCGCCAACAACACGCTGTGGGCAGCCCAGCTCCCCCCCTGCAGTGGCCTCAGGCTCCATCGGGAGGAACGCGTGGCCCTGAGGCTGCCCAGGAATGTCCGTCTCTAGCATTGCTCAGAGGGCTGCACCCAGTGCTCCTCCAAAAGCAGGAACAGAAAGTGAAAGCGATCTCACAGCAACCTGAGTCCCAGCACTGCGTGGAGTAAGCAAAAGCCCAGGCTGAACTGCTCCACTTCCGAGAATTCAGGCGCTCAGCAGAAAATGCAGCAGCGTTTGTGCAGGGTTGTTTTTTCCGCCCCTCCCTGCCCTGCGCGGCTTCAGTGAGGCACGGCTTCCGTGCAACAGCCGCAGAGACAGCAAGGCTTGCCGTATGGCTTTCCCCCTGCGCTGTGTCTCAAGCTGTACCCACCGCACACCGCTGTGCTGCCCGCCCTCAGCCGTGCTCTGTGCGGATCTCAGAGCGGGGAGATGGGAAGGAAGCCTCATGAGATGCAACAGCGCGCAGGGGGGGAGCAGCTTACCTGTACTGTGACGTCCTGCCATCGGGAGAGCGCTCACACTCACACGGGGAGCCTGGGAGGAGAGAGATTTTGAGTGAGAGGGGCACAAACCTGCCCTGCTTCCCTCCCTGTGCCCATGAAGGTGACACAGATGATCTCTGGGGACTCAGGTCAGTCCCACAACTGCGTGTGCATGGACAAAGCCAAATGGCATCAAAGTTACCCATCTGCATTGACTTTGTCTGCATCTTAGGAAAGGAATATGGACTGGAAGTCAGAACCCACTCCTCGGAAGCAGATTCTGCTGCCTCGGAATTTGTTCCGGCAGTGGCAGCAGAGCTGCAGCAACTCACCAAAGCAGCGCTGCGCTGTGTCCCAGCTCTGACTGCTGCACTCGTGCTGTTGCTGCTCTCGTCCCGCACAGCAGCGCCGGGGCTGGAAGCGCTGTGCAGCTCAGCAGCGCTTTTAGAGGCGGCGTCGGGAGGAGGGCAGTGCTGGGATCCCAGGTAGCGCTGCTCCACCATTGGCCACATCTGAGCTGCCCCAGTGCGGGGACACCGCCCGCTGTGCAAAGCCACATCCAGCCTGGACTCGGGCGCTGCCAGGGATGGGGCATCAGCAGCTCTTCCGGGAAACTCATTTATGGCCTCACCACCCTTGTCTTCAGGAATTCCTTCACGATACCTTCTCTGAAACTGCTCCATTTACATCAGCCATTCTCCTTTGTCCTATTGGTTCACTCTCAGTGAACAGAAGCACAGCCGTGCCGTGCAGTGCTGCAGCCCTGGCACAAAGACCCAGAGGCTGTGGGGTTTTCTCCTTGTGCACATTCAGCCCTCACACATGAGGCTGTGCCACCTGTTCTGCGTGTCCCTGTGGAGGCAGGGGAGACCAAATCCCACCATCCCCAAACCACAGCTCACTTGGGGCCTCAGGCACCTCTGCAGACCACCCACTCTAACAGCCCCATGCCCTTCTCACGCAGCAGCACCCCATGCTCGAGGTCAGGCTGCAGCACAGAGCAGAGGGCACAGTCCCTTCCCTCACCAGCACTGCTGGGCTGCTGCACCCAGCGGATGGGGCTCTTTTGGCTGCAGGGCATTCTAATGGCTCACATGCACCGGGCCGTCCCACAGCCCCCAGAGCCCTTCTGTGCGGCTGCTGTCCGACCTCTGCTCCTCCTCCCCCCATACTGGGAACCCAAACCCAGTCACTGAAGGGAACACTGGAGAGAATCAGCCCTGAGATGGAGCCCTGTGGAGCCCCCAGTGACTGCCACCAGCACATCTCCCCCCGTGTCTCAACACGGCCAGCCCAGCATTCACCCATCACACCGTGCCCGTGTCCAGCTGTGTGCCAGGCGTTGTGCCTGCAGGTTCCTGGGAGCAATGCTATGGAGGCACTGCAGGAGCCGAAACAGCTCTGCATCCAACCGGCTGGATCCCCACGAGCAGCTCAGTGGGTGACTGCTGGACCTGCACACCGAGTTCCCAGGACAGGTTTTGCCCCTCACCAGCCCGCGTTGGCTGCTGACAATGACTGCGTTGTCTCTCAGCTCTGTGTGCAGCTGAGGGCAGCGGTCCCGGGGCTGCAGAGACCCCGCACAAGGGGAACCCCCCCACCCCCGGCCGTCCCTTTGCCTGCTGCACGGGGCTGGACGGGGCCCAGAGGGGCCGTGTGATTCCTGCTCAGCGTGTGACTTTCGGGAATGGGAGCGGCTCAGCCCGGGCTTTGGTTCACCCGAGGGCAGCAGGAGCAGCAGGAATGCTTTCACTTGCTGTTGTCACATAGCCCTGCGCTCCCTTGGGGGCTCGAGTTCCCCCTGACGGCGTCAAGGAACAACAGCTGCACTTTCTCCTCCCTTTTCCAGAGGCCCCTCGTGGGGATGGGCTCTGTCCGGGCTGTGATTCCCGCTGGTTTCAGAACAGTGCTGATGCTGCTGACGGCGCCCTGGACCGCTGGGAGCAGCAGGAAGCAATGCTGCATGCAGAGCGCTAATTAAAACACAAATATTACACTAATTTTTTATTTTACTTTACCGTATATTTATTATACTTTACAGTAATTATCCTTTAGTGCCTCCATAAGCCATGCTCAGGGATCTCCCCAAACCCCGCGCAGCGCGCAGCGGGCGACGTCGCGGCGGCACCGGGCGCTGCGCTCCGGCGAGTCGAAGGCGTCGGGCGCGTCCACCGCGTGCACGCCGTAAGCCCTCCACGAGCCGCTCCGCTGCTCGCTCCTAAGCGTCACCGCGGGAGCCCGGCCGGCTTTTATGGGGGTCGCGGGGTCGGAGCACGAAGGGCCGTTCGGGGGCAGCCCGGGGCGCAGAGTCATGGGGAGCAGCCGAGGGTTGGCTGTCGCTCCCCGGGGTGCGGCCGCCCCGCCGGCAGCCGGGCCGAAGGTGGCGCATTCCTTAAGTGCCTTTCCCGTCAATGCGACCGTTTCCCGTCAACGCGCTCGGTTCCCTCAGCGCCGTCCCGGGCAGCGGAGCCGCGCGGCACCGCCGCCCCGCCGAGCTCGAACGGACGCGCCGCCCCGCCGCCCCGCGCTCCCGCAGCGCCGCGTCCCCCAGCCGCGCTCCTCCGCGCCCCACGCCGGGGGCTCCGGGGTGGCCGGACGCTTCCCGACCCTCCGCGACGCGACGCGCTCCCCTGGGGGCTGCCGGCCCGACGGGGAGCGGGGCGCCGCCGGCACCGGGGCTACTCGCAGGGCTGCTCCGAGCCGGGGCGGCTCCTCGGTGCCCGCTCTCACCTGCCGCCGTTCGGCCCCGGCCGCAGCCGCGCAGCCGTCGCGGTTTCGAGTTTTTTCCTCGTTATTCCACATTCCCTGCGTCACGCAGCGATGGGAGTCAACGGGGCGACGCGGCGGCTCCGAAGAATGAGCTACAACTCCCAGAAAGGCACGGCGCTCCCACAACGCTTTATTTTGTGATTTCCATCTTCCAGGAGGAGGCGATGACAGCAGAACCCAAAGCTCACAGCAGCGCTCTCCTTTGCTGCCTGTGTGTCACAGCTGCTGCAGCATCGGCACGAGAACTTTGCGTTTTGGAAACTCTCGTTTGTTCAGTAGCTTCAATTCCAATTACATTTCACTACTACAATTAGAAAACTAAGTCCTTCTTTCCTTAGCTCATTGCCACCGCTTCCCTTGTCCGGATCCACCTCCCTTCCCTTCCCCTCCCCTACCCCCTTTTTGGCATGGACCCGTGGGTCTCGTCACGGTGATTAGATCTTAATTACGGCAAACACAACCAACACGACGACTCCCCTCGCCCCTCGCTCTGCCTGAGGGCGATGCTCACAGCCCTGTGCAGCACCTCATCAGCCTGCACATCCCGGTCCCGCCTCGGCGCTCTGTTGCTCACAGCACAGCACTGCTTCCCGCACGCCTTCACCAGCTCCCGCAGCGCTCCTCTGTCGGCCGCCTTCACGTATTCATCCAGCGAGCCGCCCCCCAGGTCTTCCTTCCTTGTGAACACCACCATCATGCGCTGCTTAGCGCCCTTCCCAAACAGCTTCTGCACGCTCTCCTGCACCTCGCGGTCCTCCCGCGTGTAACGGCCCAGCTGTGTCACCAGCAGCAGCAC